GTAGATCATTACTGAGTTCTGACATAAAAACATAATGGCATTCTGTGTTCCTTGGCAGGCTGATCAATATTTTATCTGCCAAAGCATGCAGAAGTGCTAAACAGGATGAATTACGTGGCTGCAGCAAAACAGAGCAAGAAGCAGCATTGCTTGGAGCAGAGCATGTAAATTTGACAGTTATTTGCCACATTTTAGCAATCACACCTTAAAATGCTGGATTTTTCTTTTACTCTTCTTCTGTCTTATTGTTTTTCTATTTTTTTTTTTTTAATTCAAACAGTTCTAGGCTTCACTGGGTTTGAAAATGCTCTAAACTGATAAGAAGGGCTTGTTTCATTGGAGACCTTCCCCAGCACGAAAAGGGAAATAATGGACTACAATTGAAGAATCAGTTTAGGGCATGGCAGAATAGCAATTTTAGCTCATGCAGAATTTGTGTGAGTGTCTCTGTGTGTGTTGGCTCCCAGCTGAGTGGTGGGGATGGTGCCTGAGTGCACACAGGGGGTCAGCTGTCAGTACCACACAGCACCTGGAACATGTGTGGGGGCATTTCTGATGTTCAGAAACAGGGCAGGGAAGGAATGCTTCAAAACCCCTCTCTGAAGAGCAGTGGTGGTCAGCTGAAATCACAGAATCACAAAATCCTGAGTTAAGAGGAGCCCACAGGGATCATCAGGTGCAGCTCCTGGCCCTGCACAGGATAACCCCAGCAGTGTCACCATTGTCCCAGTGCTACCTGGGCTCTGTCAGCCTTGGTGCTGTGTCCTTTCCCTGGGGAGCTGTTCCTGTGTGCAAACACCCTCTGGGGGAAGAACCTTTTCCTAACATCCAGCCTAAACCTCCCAACACAGCTTGCAATTGTGAGCAGAATCCAAGTCCCTGGGAAGCTCTAACAAGGAAACCAAGCTGAGAGACATCCATTAGCAAGACCTACCAAGGAGAGCAGCCTGAGATGAGATAAACTGCTAATGATGAGTTTGTGTTGCAAAGGAAACTGCTGAGGGCAGTCAGCAGTGAGAGAGGAGAGTGGGGATAAGTGAGAGGGCACACAGACAGCTTTTCTGACATTCTTTTTGCTTAACAGTCAGATTTGTAATACCTGGAAGAACAGAACCAGAGGTGGCAGAAGCTTAAAGAGACAGTATTTAGTAGATAAAGTTGGTAGATGCTTGGCACAGTGTAAGAAGATTACAGATGTCAGGACAGCAGGAGAGAGTGAGAGGAAAGGAGGGGAAATACAGAGCTTGCTCTCCAAGATGTATAAACCAGCTCAGTGTCAGCAGTCTCTAAGGAACTTAGGTTAAAAGATGCAATAATAATGCTTAGTAAATAAGGGGAAGGATCTTTGCTGCAGGAGAATCTTGCTGTCTTTGGTATTGACTTTCCAGATGTTTTGAGTAGCCTGAATGTGTCTCCTCCATAACTTGGCTGAGCAGGCAATGTCTTTTCTAGGACATCCATGTCTGGTTACTGAAGTGCCTTATTTTGTTTGAAATAAATAGCATTAGGTCTGGGTTGCGCAGCAGCACATCAGCTCAGACATCCCAAGCACAGATAATTTCTGAGCTTTGGACAGACGTAGTGTAAAGTTATAAGTTCAGGTCAGAGAACTTCAAATGACCTGGAGAAGTTTTCCCTCTGATCTTCCACTACAGTAAGAATAAGTATATAAATGATATATTTATATGCATATATATATTACAGTTGTAGTGCATTTCTCTATCGATCTGTTAGTTCAGTCAAAGGAGCAAATTATCAATCTCACACCCTGGGACAGAACTTTATTGCTTTTACTTGTGTGCTGCTGAACAGCTCAGCACTGCTGGGCTCTGCCCAACTGCTTCTGTGTCACTGCAACCCTCAGATGTCTGGGATGTCAGGGAAAATGTGCAAAGGTGTGAGACCCAGGCAGTCTGGCACATCCCCACTCTGGAGAGAGGCTTGGGATCCACTTCCAGCAGAGCTGGAGAGTGTGATTTTCTCCAGAAGGAAGTAAAGGTATTGATTTGACAGGGGCTAGAAGCACCTTCTGACTTTCTGCCTGCAGCATATGTTAGCAACGTGTGAAACTGGACTTATTTTTTAAATAAGAGACATAATTGTCTTACTGCTGGTTTTCTTTGATGTGTTCACCATGGACTGGCCTTACCCTGCTGTGCAGATGGGGGTCTGCTGGATCCATGACCCTGAACATAGCAACAGTGAGATGGGAAAAAATGTACTATGAGTTTATAGCAGGATTTGGGAATTGCTGCCAGAGCTGTCACCAGCTCTGTCCTTCTGTGCTTTCTTTTATTTCACCCTTAGTGCCCATCACACTTGCCTGGAAGCTGCAGCATGGCTGTGACCCCCAAGGTAAATGGGCACATTTACCTTGGACTGGCTGGCAGCCCAGATCAGTGTGCAGTTTTTCAAGAAAAGCAGTTTTGTGGTGGCTTTGTTTTCTGAGCATGGAAGGATCCAGGAGGGTTGTAATTCAGTGAAGGAGATCACTGTCCCCTGGCTCACATGCTTGAGAGAACTGGGTGTTCAGCCTGAGAAAAGAGGCAGGGGGACTTTCTCCCTCTCTGTAACTACTTGGAAGAAAGTTGTAGCCAAGAGAGGGTCGATCTCTACTCCCAAGAAGTAGATGACAGGATGAGATGAAATGGATGAAATGTCTTCAAGTTGTACCAGGGGAGGCTTGGGTTGAGGATTAGGAAAAAATTCTTTTAGATTGACTCCATCCAGCCCAGGATCGTGGTGGAGTCCCCATCCCTACAAATGTGAAAAGTCCCTGTAGATGTGACACTTGGGTTAGTGCTGAGGGAGGAAGGCTGGGAAAGCCTTGCCCAGGTAACAGCAAATAACTACAAAAAAAAAGTGCCAGCTGCTGAAAACAAACCTGGAGGGTGTAAAGTAAGAACTGCTTTGGCCTGTCCTTATGGGGAGCACAAGGTAATTGGGTCAGCCCACCCAGGTGTCACCATTACCTTGCCTGTAGCACTGCTGGTGCTCACTAATGGAACCACAAAGCAGAAACAGAAGTGAAAGAAAATTAAATCGCTTTCCTGTCTTCATTAGCCGTAGATACATTTCTGGGATTAACTTTTGATTGAAAATAAAATTCCAGCTAAGAGAAAAAATATTATTGCAGTAGCTAAAATAGTATATACAACAGAATAGCTTGACTAAATGGGTACAGTAATCAGGTTTTCTCTTAAATAAGCTAGTGATTGAATAAAGAAAATATATACTGCCTTCTCAAACCGTCAAATGACATGGTTTGGAATAAAGAAGTCAAGAATAATAAACTCATAGTAGCTGAATAGCCTTGTTTTCTCTGCAAAACAAGTCTGATCCCAAGTGGGACCCAGTGCTTTTTGGAGGTTGTTTAGAGGGAAGGAAAAATTTATCAGCTGCTTAATATCCCCAAGCAGCAGGAAGCTCTCCAAACTAGATGGGACTGAGTTCAGGGCAGGGAATAAGCTTTGTCTTGCAGTTCTTGCTCATGTAGCAGGAGGGCACTGACCTGGCTGGTGAGCACATGTTCAGCCTCTGTGTCCTCTCTCACCTTCCTTCTCAGGTCATAATGCTTTTGAAGTTGTGAGCACAAAATATGAAGGGTGAAAAAAACCCCTTGACAGTAGATGGGTTTGCTATCAGAGAAGTGCCTCCCACCTGGAATTTTAATTGGGTTTCAGTTGGAGTGGGACCAAGAGATCCAAAATGTTGCAGCTCAGCAAGAAAGGGACAGGAACATTAGTTGTCACTGTGCCAGAATCTTCTGTTATTTTTCAGAGGAATAATGTTTAGAGTCTTTGGGGAGCTGATCTATAAGGGTACTGTCCCTTAAACTGAGGTGGGACCATCTTCTCTTAGATTTAAGATTTAATCTTTGATTTAATCCAAGAGGATGAGTCATGGGATATAAAGGAAAGGTTTGATTTAAACCCAGTATTGCAGAGATTAAGGCTTTTACATTATAGGGAAGTTACATTATAGACATAAGGACATCTGAGGGAAACAGCTGGAGGTGCTGATGCTGTTGGTGGGGTGTGGTTGGTACCCACAGAGTGTGGGACAGCTGGAGTCTGAGGCTGCTCCAGGCTCTGCCCCAAGGCCCCTGCAAGGCACCAGCCACTGTGCTCTGCACTAAAGAAAACAGATTAGCACAGAAGGACAGCTGCCATTTCTCATTCTGCTGAGCTCTGCCAGCCAACAGATGAGCAGAAAAGGATCATAATATCTCGTACCACTTTGGCATGTGGATGCATTTCCTCGAGGAGGGGAAGAGCTGGATGCTGCAGGCACAGCATGAGCTTTCAGGGTCATGGGGGTTCAATCTGATTTCTTCAGCCAAGCCAGAGCCACTTCAGGGAGAGTGGCTTGAGGGCTTTTCCCTGGTAATAACCTTTTTCCCTGGTCAGGGACAGCACAGTGTTTATTTCAGCCTGCAGCGGGGTGATGAGAGCAGGCACCAGTGACACCACAGCTGCAGGGGCTCCCCACAGCCCTGCCCTCCTCACTGTCCAGGGGCTCCCCACAGCCCTGCACTCCTCACTGTCCTTCCTCTGGCCTTCTACCACCCCAGGCTGCCTCTGGGGGTTCCCTGAGATCAGCCCCATGTTTGACACAGGGTGGCAGTCTGAGGTACGAGCTATATCAGTGGAACTTTCTAAACATCAGCTTCCCCAGGTTTATTTTTTACTTTATGGGATAAATTTATTCATATAGGAAAGCATAGAGCCAATTTAATATTTGTTGGAGTTACAAAACTGAGTGTGGCAGTCTGTAACTGAAGCCCTGTAAAATCTGGAAGGTAACATGCTGGAGAGTATCCCTGACAGCAGGATTTAGAAAATCTGCCAGCTATTACAAAAGGCAACAACCACAGGAGCTCCTCAAGTGCGGAGCTGAATATGCAGACATGTGTGCCTAGTTTTTCCTTTTAGGACCTCAGTCCTTTGAAGAGATATGGGTAAATGGAGATAGTGCAGTAATGCTGTGTTATCTCTCAGGGGACCGGTGCACAATGGCAGACTACAGCCGGCTGAAGAGCATCCTGCTGGACCTGCAGGCCCGGAGGCAGAGTCCCCCTGGCAGCCTGGCCAAGGACAGGCCAGCCCAGCAGCGATTCCTCATTGGAGAGCTCTTTAAGCACTTGGATCTCAACAGTGATGGGCACCTCAGCAGCTCTGAACTGGCTCAGGTAGGTTTATTGTTCAGTGAGAATGGAATTATGAAGTGGATTTTCATTCAAAGTGTGAATTGAATGTAACACAGCAGCACTCGGGTGGGAATGGTCATTTGTACCTGTCCAGTCAGCAGCAAGTACAGGAGGAAAGTCTAACACAGTCAGTGAGTCTCTGAGCATTGTCTCAAACATTTGAAGCTCATCTCCAAACAAAAAACATGGCAGTTTTCCAGCCCCATCCATACTTCTCAAAATAGATAATAATCCTTGCTGTGCTGACTGACATCTTCTGAAGTATTTCCAGTTAGCTGGCTTGGGGAGAATCAATTTAGATTTTTTAGGTGCATGTAAGCTAGGCAGCAATCTCTCAGTTCTTCTCCCTGCATTCTGGACTGTGCATTAGCATAGAGTAATGTGACAGCAAAGTTGGGTGTTTGTCAGCAGGTATATTGTCCTAAAATCCCTGGGCAGATGCTGCATTGTGGATTAGCAGAAATTGATAGAAAAGGTAAGAGCTTGAAAAAACTATTACTTCTAATTTCAGGCATGCTGTGCTGTTGGAATTCATCTCCTTGGTAAAGTGAATCAAACAGTCAGCCTGAGTACTCTGTGTCCTCAACTTGCTCTTTGCACATGCAGACCTGGGAAAACAGTCCTGTAAAATATCTTTCCCTTCCATTATGTCATCCATGAGAAGAATTAGAAGCAAATGCCTTCTAATAGCCTTTGGAAACCAGTCCTATCTAGGACCTATTCCAGTTTCCAAAGCTGTTCCTTCATAGAATTATGGAATAGTTTGGGTGGGAAGGGACCTTAAAGCTGACCTCATTGCATGCCATGGGCAGGGACACCTGCCACTAGACCAGCTTGTTCAGAGTAAATTCACATTTGAGTGGCTCATCCCACTCTGCCTTCCCAGGGAACACAGAGCATGTTACAGGCACGAGCCTGCTCCTCCCTGAGCTCACTCCTCTCCAGGACAGTTTGTGCTGCATTTTAGTCCTCAGGCTGTTTACAAGATGCTTGATCCTTTCCACACAATGCGAAGTGTCAGTGTAAATTCCCTTAGATCTCAGGGCTATGAATATATGCAATATTTCCTCTGAAGGCAATGATTTTTTCATAAAGACATGGTAGCTATAAGAAAACACTTTTATCTGAATTCAAAGCCGGATTTTACATAGTGGAATCTAAGTAAAAAATATTCTGTTCTATTGTCCAATTTTTTTGCCCTTTTTACAGGAAACTTATTTTATTAGGATTTTAAAACTCTCATGGAAATAAAGGTTTGGCATCCTGCAAGCAATTGTAATTGCAAAGGAGCTCAGGCAGTGCTGTAAGGTCTAAGCAATTGTTACTGCAAAGGAGCTCAGGCAGTGCTGTAAGGGTCTGCCTCAAAGCTCCTCTGGGCTTTGTTTGAGAAGTGCCTGGAGCCCAGATCTCTCTCACAAGTACAAACACAGACATTGGCTACTCTTATTTTAATTCTTCTCACTGTTATCAAAATCAGGAAATGTGTCTGAACGTCTGGAGCCCACTACATTTTGATGGACCAGAGTAAATTCAGCATCAGCCCGGCGCCCTCTCACCCAACCATTCTCCACACAATCTGGCCGCCAGCATGGCTGAGCTGACAGTGGGATCAGCTCTCAAAAGACAAAATAATACCTATTAATGCACAGTTTAGATAAACCACGAGTGCTTTTAATCCTGGGCTGAGTGTCTCTGGTCTTGAGCCCCTTGGTGGCAGCATGGCTGAGTCCCAGCCAGGCTGGGGACACATCTGTGGGCAGTTTTGGGCTCTCACAGCAGCAGGATTCACAGCTTATTTGTAGCATGCCAATTCTTTGTTTTTCTCTTTAACAAGATGATTTTTATGTGCTCTTACAAGTCCAGTTTATCCACCAGAGTTTCAATGGACATTTTTTTAGGTAATGAGCAATTTTTCATTACCCAGGTTATAGTCTTAACCGAACTATTCTTACCTCTTTCTTAGGTAGACTTGTAATTGATTTGCATTAGCTCTCTATTTTGAAGCTCTCTGCAACTTTAATTTCCCCAAAAGGTGGGAATTTCATTGCCCATGGGCAGAGCAAGCTGAGCTGATTGTGATGCAGTGAGATCTTGTTCTCTCTGACTGCTGGATGAGCTGGTGCTGTGCCTTTCCTTGGTTTTATTTAAAAGAAAAATAGTCTCTCGAGCACTATAACTTTGTCTGCAAGCAAAAAACTCAGGGCAGGTAACTTGCACTGCTGCAGTAACAAGAGATTTTTAAGACCTGGAAGTGGATTTTTAGGAGGCTCATTGCAGAGGGGTTCACCCCAAAGGAGAGTCTCTCCAGGGAGGATGGTCCTTCATGGATTCAGCACCCATCTGTGTGTTCTCCACAACAGAATTGCTTTGAGCAAAACAATGGCAGCAGTTGGCCCATCCCCTTCTATTTAGAGCTGGTTTGCCTCCTGTCTGCTGGTAGACCCTATCCAATATTTTCCCTCTGGACCCAACAGTGAAATTACCATGTAGTTTTGCAACCATGGATATGTAAGGCTATTAACAATGGTGGTAATTGGAATATTATTTCCATTTAAATCTTTAATGTATTTTAAAGTCAGATTCATAAATCTGCTAAGTGTGTCACAGCTGAAGTGTTTTCCACTGTTTTTTTCCCTGACATTAAATCAAAAGGACTAGTAAAAACTTGTCAGTCTTATGAAAAGTTAATCAATTTTCTATACAAAGGGTAGACAAAGGGAAATTTCCATCTTTAGAGGATTGATTTTGGAAGTTATGGTTGATCTCACTTTTATTGAATATTTTTTACTTGCCAGGTGAAGGGTCATCTTTTTAGCATTATTACTTTAAATTGCTTCAACATAGTGGGTCAAGACTAGAATAGTAAATAAAAGAATCCTTGGCCTACAGGAAAAAGCTTTCCTGTCTGGAAGATGCAACAGTTCAGCAGTTTTCTTCATATTCTGCAATAAATTCAGAGAACCCAAATGAAATGCTGAAAAAACAAAAGAAGAAAACTCTCAGGGGTTGGAAAAGCACATCAGTGTTGAGTACACCATCCACTGTTGCCTGTAATAGTCCTAAAATCAGGGCATACTATTTTGTCCTTACAGAGGAGAAAGGAGAAACAGGCTTTCCTTTTTCCCTGTTGAATGTTTAATTTTCAGTCTGTTTTCAAAACAAAAATATATTTCTGCGCTGCTGGTAAAGGAAGGGGCTCTTCAATCCATGGTCCATGAAGTGCTGCAGGAATACAAATATCTTGTTAGAAAGCAAAAATATAATGTTAGATATGATAATCTGTCTCTTATCTATGTCCCCAAAGGTCCTTTCATGGAAAATCTGCAGGTGAGCCAGGCCAGCAGTGTGTAGCATTGCATTCTGTGTAAGGTCACCTGTTCTCTTTGCTGCAGTTGATGAAGAAGGAGGACCTGGAGGGTGATTTACTGGGCTGTACACTTGAAGACCTTCTCCAGTTTGATGATTACAACAACGATGGCCACCTGACCCTGCAGGAGCTCTACACAGCCTTCCGTGAGTCCCTGCTTTGCTCTCTCCTGGCTTTTGAAGCATGGCAATACCTGTGAGGGCACTGTTGTCTTCCTAGACAGGGTCAGCCAAGATGATGCCTTTTTTGTCTTTATTGCCATGAAAACACTTTGCAAGGCTTGTTTCCAAGGTGTCTGTTCTCCACAGCGTGGAGCAGGAGGTTGGTACAGGTGTGTCAGGTTTATTTTCTTCTGTTTTGTTGTGCTTCTTGGTGATGGCAAGGGAGAGATGGTGGCCTGGCCAAGGTCTGTAGACCTGAGTACATGGTTTGATTAACCCTAAAGAAACAAGATGGAAACCTGTCCAAAGGCCCTGTGATAATATGAGTTAGTTTGCTGTGGGGAAGGTATTTACTGAATATTTTGCCTGGGAATTGTGTTTTCTACATGTGTTTCCATGTTAATGAGTTTGCAATCCTAATACAAATCTCAGCATCCTGTGCAAGGATCTGGGAATCACAAAGCTGCTTAAACAGTGGGATATAATAAATATTTCTGTTATCCCATTTTTCTTTATAAATAATTCTTGCTTTAAGGTAAGCATTTTTTAAAGTCCTTCCCTGGAAAAGGCCCACACTGTCTCCTTCATCTGCATGATAGAAAGTTTTGTTGTTGTCTGTTCCTTTGGGATACTAAAGAAAAAGGGAAATGGGCAGGGTTATTTATTAATCAGGATAGTGAGCTACAGAGAACTTGGGTGTGGTTAAGACATTGTGGCTAAAACTGAAGCAGGATTCAACCGTTGACTCTGCTGAGTGCAGGGAAAGGGCCAATAACAATCTGGTTACCTCTTAAGCAGGATTCCTTTCTTAAGAGGGTGATGTCTGTTTTCTTGATCTACAGTTTTTAATTAAAAAAAATAATTTAGATAATAATCACAGAATGGTTTGAGTGGAAAGAGACTTAAAGATTATTAAGTTCCATCCCCTGCCATGGACAAGGACACCTGGCACTTGACCAGGTCACTCCAAGCCCCGTCCAACCTGCCCTTGGACACTTCCAGGGATGGGGCAGCCACAGCTGCTCTGGGCACCCTGTGCCAGGGCCTCCCCACCCTCAAAGGGAGGGATTTCTTCATAAAATATCCAGTCTAGCCCTGCCCTCTGTCAGTTTGAACCCATTCCCCCTTGCCCTGTCATACCATGCCCTTCTCAAAAGTCCGTCTTCAGGTCTCCAGTAGGCAGCCTTCAAATATTGGAAGGTATTTAAAGTGCTTTAAGATTAGCCCCAGTTTTCACCATGGACCTGTTTGAACCCCACAGGCATTTAATTCAACACAGCAGATATACAGTAAAACATAAAATCTCGTACATTAAGAAGGCATAAAGTGTATTAACCCAGCTATAAAGGCTTGACATGCAGTTATTTGGGAGCATATTTAGATCAATGGGTTCTCAAAATCACATCAACTTAAACCTAAATTCCAAGAATTATTTCTATGGGTTTTGGTTCAGGGAATTTTAAGTAGGCAATGAAAATAAGACAAGTACAAAATATTAACCAATTAATAGCAATAATATTGATGAACTGCACAATTATCTTAACAAAACACAAGGTGTAACAATGACTGTTTGTCAGAGGAATTTGGTATCTGAACAGAATTGCTCACCAAGTGAAGCTGAAAACTAGACTGACTTCTCCATTTTCAGTTTTCCCAGAATCCTGACTTTTTATCAAGAGCAGGTAATGGCTCACCAGCTTTTAATTTAAAACCAAAGTTAATTTGCTTGCAACTTCTGAAATTTTGGGGAACCTGGAAGCAAATTTAATGCCTGGTTGAAGTATATTTTTTCCCTTTATTAAATGATGTAGGAAAAAATACTTTAAACACTTAAGGGCACACTTTGGTTTATGAAAATTTTGTTTATCAGATTTCTGCTTTGTTATGAGTCAGAATTTGGCTTGCAGCACTAGTTTAAAGGAACATCAAATGTGCATCCTGTACATTTCCCCTATTTTTTTTGCCTATTAGAGAGATCTTTTTGTTGCTTGAAGTTCACCCAAGCCATGAATTGTGGCTGCCACAGGCTGGCAGCAAGGTATGGGCACGGCAAGCTGAGTAACACAATTACCAGAATTCAGTGACATCAGAAAGTCTCAATCTAATTTATCCTCTCAGACTCTGTCACATCTGTTTTGGTGCTCTGTGCTCTGGTGGAGTGTCGCAGTGTGGGAAAGGTTTGAAAATGACCTTGATAATGTGAAGAGCTTCCCCATCTGACATTCTTGTGCTGCATTACAAGTTGTATTTCTTTTTAGAGAGCCTTGTGGCCTTGCTGTAACTCACAGAGCCACAAAATGGCCTCTTTCTCTCACTCCATGTGTGCCTCTTGCTTTCCCTTGACCCATCCTCTCTCTCTAAGACCCTCAGGGATCCAAAGGTTATGTTTCTTCCTCATCATGTTGATCATCTGTAAATAAATGAAAAGTGCGTGAATGAGAGAAATCCAGTCTTACATTTTCTGAAATGGGGTTTTCCCAGCACTAAATCTAATAGGTGTTGTTTTTAATCATAACTTCTTACCATGCTAATAGTTTTCTTACACATTTTAATGCACAGTTTTGGATTATGGACAGAAATAGTGGCCTTCCTTCTAAACCTACCATCTTTCTTCTGGCTTTCTGAAAGTTCTTTTGTTCCTTAATCCCAAGAATTAAGCTGTTAAGCATTTTCTTGAATCTATGAGGATGACTAGAAATCTGTTAACACAGGATTAAAGTGTCAATTTTCAAATTGCCTTAATCATACACAAGTAGTGCATAAGACAGATGAAACGCTCTCCCGGCAGATCTGGTAAGAACCACTTGTAGGTGTCTTCTAATTCCTCATTAATAAATTTTTATTACATAAGGAGTCTCAGGACTGTAATTAAAAAAAAAATTGATATGATGATCTGGAGATTTTTCACACACCAAAAATAGAGTACTAGAAAGATTATTTGTCTGTTGTCTTTTCTTTAAGTTGTCACGAAGATTCAATACATGACTAATAAATGAAAGGCTTAGATGGCATAAGAGCTAAAGCAGTGCATGATCTAATTAATCAGCACGGAGATAGCCTGGTGAGTTGGCAAGCACATCACCCAGCTGAGTCACACTTTTAGGAATGCTCAGATGGGTGAGTTTTGGATATAACTTCTGGCACTGTATCTGACTGGAGGTCATTAAAATTCGGCATGACATTTCTGGCATTCCTGTTGTCTTCCCTAATGGGCAAGTGGCAGGTTGGCAGATGTGAAAGCCCAACTTAAGGAAAAAAAAAAATCTGTGTAATCTTCTAGATCTGTATCATCATCATCATCAATATGGACAGGTCAATTTGTAATACAGATAATTGAGGAAGAGGGAAAATATGCATCCCATCAAAATGCCTTTATCCTGTCAACACTGTTTAGCTAATAAGGAGTTATTAAACAAACAATAAAATCCCCTTAAATTCTGGATCATGGCCCATTAAAGTACTTTCCTGATATCACAGCTGGATCAAAACAACCTACAAATGAAGTTTGAAAGAAAAATACTGATTTGTTATTTTTCAGTCCAGTTGTTATTTGCCATGGTCTGTTGCATATAAGTTACATGTAGACAGAAGATTGTTTCTGTAAGATGAGAGGCATGTCATCCATGGATATATTGCTGTCTAAAAAACACAAGTAGGGATATTTTTCATGCAGGAATGAATGCAGCAGCAGCAGGATTAATGTTCTCTTCTCTTAACTCCAATTAAGGAGTATAAGACAATGTTTTTCTTTACTCTCTGACTCTGTTTTAGGTCAAATCTTCCTTTTTTAATGTCCTTAATATTAACCAAAAAAGCACAAGGAAGAAGTATGAAAATGAGATGTGCACACTTTCAGCAGGAGGTCAGGGAAATGCCAGGGAGGGTGGATGGTGCCAGCCCCAGGGGCTGGGAGACCAGATGGAATTTGAATGCACTGGGTGAAAAAATGAATTTGAGAGCCTGGGCTGGCCATAGGTGTCAGGTAAATCACTGCCAATGTAGAGGAGCAGTGTTGGACTGGCTCCAGATTCACTGCAGTGATCCTGAAATCTCCAGGAGCTGTACTCCCCACAGCTGTGTGGTGTGGAGAAGGGGCAATCCATTTCTGATTCCTCCACCATCCTCAAGAGGCTCATTAGAAGTGTGGACTAGAAGAGAGATTTATTTACTTATTTTATTTTTTTTTAATTTATTTTTGAGTGCGTGTTTCTGATTCACTAGAAACTACTTTAAGGCAGAGCTTTTAATTGTCCCAAAATTGTGGGGATTGGTGCTGACTGGGTAAAAGCAAAGCTCTACGTTGAGAAACATGGAATGAAACATAAAAAGGGACTTGCAGGGTCAAGTGGAAGAGGAAGGTGTTGAGTGAGGAAGAAGCTTTCAGCAGGGTTCTTGGTAAATATATCAGCATAGCCAACTCTATGGTCTCATAATAAACAAAGTGATAATGGTGAATAAATTCTATGGAGGAAAGCAAATACCCCTATTTGCTCTGTGTGTGTGTCTGTATATGCACTCCACACACCTGTGGCAAGCCAGCTGTTCCAGCAGCAATTGCGCCTGTAAAATCCACGTGCAAATGAAGTGTTTATTCACAAATTCATGAAGCTGTTCTTGGTGGCACAGCACCTACAGTCAGGTATTTGTTGCTGTTTCCTCCCAGCTGGATTGGTCCAGCCCAGATAATTACATTGGACAAGTATATTGTGAGATAAAATGTTTTGCTTGCAGTGTTTTCTTGAGCAATGTTGTAGCAACAGTTATCTACAGAATCAAATCATAGCTCTGAAATATTGACAGTTTGTGCCCCATGCTCTGCCTCTCCCGCTGTCATCTCCGTGGTATGTGATTTTTCTTTCATGTTGCTGCAGATATTGGTACAAACTTGGAAATAATTCATTAGCTTACCAGCATTGATTGCTTCTGTGAGTGATGTGATAGCCCAACTTCAAACACAGCTGGGCAAGCAGGGGAGCAGCAGCCTC